GAGAAAAGTGAGCTGAACAACTTTACTTAAGAGCACAAGTAAGGTTTGCTTAGTAAATTATTGAGAAAAGATCAAATCTTTTTAGCAAGAATTTGTAAAAGTGATCTACAGAAAGAGTTCCTAAAAAAGGTTTTCTTTTTTAATAAAAAAATATCTATAAATACTATGTTATATAATTTGTTACAAAAAAAAATTTATATCTCTTATAAATTATTTTTTTAATTATTCTAGCATATTATTAAAGTATAATAAAAATATAAAGTCTATTAACAATTTTAAAAATTCATTCTATGATCTTATTATTAAAATTTTTTTGTTTTTAATACAACATAATTTATTTACTTTTATAAGTTTCTATATACTAAATTATTATAATATATATTATAACAAATATTGCTTTATATATTATTTATATTATTGTCAACTATATAATAAAAATTATCCACCTTAATAAATTCAACATAATGTATAATTGTTGTTACATTTATAAAATCATAACCTGAAAATTTATAAAAATATTTTAGTTCTACAGAATCTTCTATAACTGATGTTGTCCAATTTATACAAGTCAGCATACAATCCTCATTATTAAATTTATAAGCAATATAATATAAAATATTTCATAAAATAATTTTGTTTTAAAAAATAATATATATTTTTGATTATTTGTATATATATCTATTTCTATTTGAATCTATATAACAAAATTAATCAATTAATAATTATATTTATTTATTACTATATATAACAAAATAAAATAATATATACTAATACAGAATAATTTATACATGCCCAATTAGGGTTTCATGCAATCCAACTAAATCCAATATAATAACTATATTTTGTATGCAAATAGCCAAATTTTTGTACTTGAGTAATAAAAGACTAATATATAAATATATATTATAACAATAATTAAGATATAATATATATGCTAACAATTAATTAAGATAAAAAAAAAATACTGTTACTTGATTTGATGTTATGTTTTTGTTACATAATAGTTTTTAATTTTTTTAAATTTTGTATTGTTAAGTATGTATTGTGCTATAGGGTTAAGAAGTTTTTCTTCATATCCTTTTGCTAAAAAACTAAATTGCCTTAAGTTGGGTTTGGGTCAAAATCTTGACAAACAGAATTCTAACAGGTCAAAAAAATCCTAAAAGCTAAAAATCCTAATAGTCAAAAATCCTGACAGTTAAAATTCTGACAATTAAAAACTCTGATAAAAAATATAATAGACTATAGCAAACCCTATCTAAAGTAATCTAACTCTAAAATTAATTAAATTATAAGAGCCTATTTTACTTTAAACATATCACATACTTGGAAATTTTTTAACTAAAAATTCTGGCTGTTAGGATTTTTAATTGTTGAGATTTTTGACTGTTAGGATTTTTTTGTTGAGATTATAATCTGTTAGGATTCTGTATATTAGGATTTTGATCTGCACCCCTTGAGATTACTATGTCTTATACAGGTAAAAATATTTTTTGATCAAATTTTTTGTAAAACTTTAAATAATTAAAAAGTTCAATTATATAAATAGTATTTATAATATTTTTATATAGATATAATCATGATCTTGCAAGTGGTAGTAACATTTCACAAATATGTTTAATCAGAAACTGCCATGTTGTTTAGCAGAGACCATTTTTTTGAATACTTGAAGATACATGAAGCATATAATATATATATATTTTTATTGAACTAATATGCTCAATTAAATTTTTATAATAATCTCTAATAAATATGATTAAATAAATATAAATATTAAAAGTTAATAAGTAAGTATAAATATTAAAAAGTTAATAAATAAGTATAAATATTAGAAAGTTAATAAGTAAATATAAATATTAAAATTAATGAATAAGTATAAATATTAAAATTAATAAGTAAGTATAAATATTAAAAGTTAATAAATAATAATATAAAATCTTAATAAAAGATCATTTATGTTATTTAAATTAATTGTTATAATTTTTTTTTAACATAACTATACTGCCTTTACAAAAAGATACTATTTATTATAGTACTTTAATTGTAATCATCCTTTAAGTAAAGGCAATAAATACATTGTAATCTATATAGCCCATTCCTCAGCTTTGTATTCATAGTAATGTAATATTATATTTTGTAAGGGTCTTTCAAGATTTAGTAGCAAATTTTTGTGCCATGTATGCATTTGTTTGCCAATATCTAACCAAGTTAACTTAGCCAATATATATGGTTCTTTATTTTGTAATTCATCAGAAAAGAAAGTTCTAGTCCAATGTTCGAATATATACTTGGCAATGTTCTTATAAAATAAATGCATAATATCTATAGCAAAGGAATTAGAAAAATGTGTTGTTGGCAAATTAAACAGAATGCTACATTTACTAATTTCTGTATAAATAATTAATTAGCATTCATATTATATGAAAAATTTTGTTTAGTCAGGCAAATATAATTATAGTTTAAACTATTTTAAACTATTTTATAAATTATTTATAAATTAGTAAAACTAGTTTAAA